CTGGCCCCATCGGGCACAGACCTCTGAAGGTGGGAAGCCCTGCTGGGAGAGGGTATTTTAGCACCCTGTGCAGCGTTCCACACTTCTGCTTGTGGATCCACATCTTCATTTGCTACGTCCATCAAGGACCCAGTTCTCTGCTGGATGTCCCAGGGATTTCTAAGAGTGTTGCACTGCCTCTGCCTGCAGGGAAAACTAGAGCCCTTTACTTCTCCTTTGTCCTGTGTATGCATTACTCCAAAGGAAAATAAAAGATTTTCTGAAGGGTTAGGCATGGTGGCTCACACCTGTAATCCCAGCACTTTGGGAGGCTGAGGCAGGCAGATCAGTTGAGGTTAGAGTGGATCACTTGAGGTCAGGAGTTTGAGACCAGCCTGGCCAACATGGTGAAACCCCATCTCTACTAAAAATACAAAAATTAGCTGGGTGTGGTGGCACATGCCTGTAGTCCCAGCTACTTGGGAGGCTGAGGCACGAGAATCCCTTGAACCTGGGAGGCAGAGGCTGCAGTGAGCCAAGATCATGCCATTACACTCCAGCCTGGGCAAGAGAGCAAGACTTTGTCTCAAAAAAAAAAAAAAAAAAAAAGATTGGGCAGGGTGCCTGTGATCCCAGCGCTTTGGAAGGCCAAGGCAGGTGGATTGCTTGAGCCGAGGAGTTTGAGACCAGCCTGGGCAACATGAGAAAACACCGTCTCTACAAAAAAAATACAAAAATTAGCCTGGTGTGGTAATGCACACCTGTAGTCCCAGCTACTTGGAAGGGTGAGGTGGAAGGATCACTTGAGTCTGGGAGGCAGAGGTTGCAGTGAGTGGGGATTGCACCACTGCACTCCAGCCTGGGCAACAGAGCGAGACAGTTTCAAAAAAAAAAAAGAAGAGATTGTCTTTGGGTAAGCATTGAGACAGATGTGTGGACTCTGATTGAGGCAGCTGTTGGTAATTAATCAGTTTGTAAAAGGAAGTCTGGGTGTTCTGTGACCATTGTTGTTTGTTTTTCCCCATGTCTTTTCCCAATTCATCGTCTATTCGGCTTAGTATCATTTATTTCACACCCATACCTATAGAGCTAGGCTAATTTGCATGCTGGGGGTAGGAATTGTAAGAGCCACCTGAGATGCAGGTAGCTTAGAATCACAGACACAGGTCGCTTCTCTTCTATCCTGTTGCAGTGTCGATACACCCTGCAATACACCTACCCATATGCATATTACATGGAGTCTGGACCCAGGAAGAAGCTGGTAAGGCAAAGCAATTTTTCTCCTCTGTCCTTTTAGCCTCAAAGGTGCCCTTCTTTACCAGCACTTTACAGGACAGTGAAGACCAGACCCTGGTCATTAGGAAGGCAAATTTAAAACAACACTGTTTAATTGCAAAATTCCACTTCTACTCTGGGCACTTCCAAAATAGATCTAAGGTGCTGTTTTGTGTAATACAAGGCACATGGCACCTAATCCTTTAAACAACTGTATTTAAAGGGTGATTGGCTAAAAAGGTCTCTGGCCATGTGGGAGGCCAGTGCCCATGCTTGGGAGGGATATTTAGTGCATGTCCTTAAGATATATTTGACTGTTTGTTTTATACCTTGTTTTATTCTTAATCTTAGAGTTGAATTTGGATATGAATTTATTGTTACTGACAATAATAAATGTTAATAAACTAGTAATTCACATTTTTGTTTAAATCCTGGAAAACAGAGAAGCATTTACATTGTCCAGAAAGAAGTTACCACTGTCAGCATTTTCCAGTCATTTAAAATTAATATTTTGTGCCGGGCACGGTGGCGAGTGCCTGTAGTTCCAGCTATTCGGGAGGCTGAGGCTGGAGGATCTCTTGAGTCAAGGAGTTCTAGGCTGTAGTGCGCTCTGCCGATTGGGTGTCCACACTAAGTTCGGCATCAATATGGTGACCTCCCAGGAGCGGGGAACCACCAGGTTGCCTAAGGAGGGGTAAACCGGCCCAGGTCAGAAACGGAGCAGGTCAAAACTCCCGTGCTGATCAGTAGTGGGATCACACCTGTGAATAGCCATTGCACTCCAGCCTGGGCAACAGAGCGAGACCCTGCCTCTTAAATAAAAAAAAAAAATTTAAATAAAATTAATATTGTGTATATAATCAAGGTTATGTCAAACTTTTTTTTTTTTGAGAGAGTTTTGCTCTTGTTGCTCAGGCAGGAGTGCAATGATGTGATTTTGGCTCACCGCAACCTCTGCCTCCCAGGTTCCAGTGATTCTCCTGCCTCAGCCTCCTGAGTATCTGGGATTACAGGCATGCACCACCTCGCCCCACTAATTTTTTTTTTTTTATTTTTAGTAGAGACGGGGTTTCACCATGTTGGTCAGGCTGGTCTTGAACTCCTGACCTTGTGATCCTCCCGCCTCAGCCTCCCAAAGTGCTGGTATTACAGGCATGAGCCACCGTGCCCAGCAACATTTTATTTTTTGTGACAGTTTATTGTTATAGCTGTCATGATTTACCTGTCTGGTAAATACCATTTTGTTAATGGTTGCATAAATGTGCTGTTACTTGGTTGTACCATCACTTGGGACATTTATTCTTTCTTTTTTTGGCTGTAAATAGGACATTCAGAAACATTTTTGTGCATAAAATTGTATCTTCTTAGATATATAATTACTAAGTCAGTATTTAAGTTTGAATATTTTTAAGGCTCTTGATTTGCAGAAGGAAAAAAAATGAAATGATAGTATATGAGAATATTCGTTCGAATTATTTTTTACAGCATCTGTTCCCTTTCATATTGGGAGCATTCTCTTTAACTGGCTTAAATTTTTCCCCTTCCTTTGGGAATGTGGAGGATAGAGTTGACCTTTTGTGGGTGAAGGGTGAGGGTGGCCTTGCTGTTTGGATAGCCATTTTTTTGGATTCTGGCTCTGGGAACATGGAATGACAGCACTTTTTGAGGACACTATCAGGATTGTCTGTAGTTCCTGTGAGCCTGAGGTGCTACGTGTGCCCCACCTCACCCACCCCCATCTGCAGGCCCTGCCCCAGCCATAGCCCACTCACCTTTTGACCCTCCTGCTCTGCCTATACAGTTTGAATACCAGCAGGCTCAGCTGGAGGCTGAGATTGAAAACCTCTCATGGAAAGTGGAGCGTGCGGACAGCTATGACAGAGGGGTAAGTGCCTACTGTCCTCTTGGATTCTATATTGCAGGTAAAGGAGGACTGGCATGCTAATAGGTGACAGTGTTGTTGGTTTAACACTGGAAGCTGCTACTAAAAATGGGAAGGGCAGTGCTTTTGACTCCTTGGAGGCCCTGGAGGGTGTTTGTGGCTTTGTCTACTTCTTGCTCCCAGGCCTGGGCTATGCAAGCAGACACCTTGTTTCTGTGATGCAGGACTTGGAGAACCAGATGCATATAGCGGAGCAGAGGAGGAGAACCCTGCTGAAGGATTTCCATGACACCTAAGTTGGGATGTGGATGTGCTGGGGTGAGGAAGATGTGGCTGCAAGGCCTCCCAGCTGCTGTACTGCATGCTGCAGGCTCTGCCTTTCATGACCCCAGGCGACAGCCAGGGCCCCACTCCTGAGAGACACTGGCAACACCTCTTAGTTGGTTTCTGTTTTTTTCTCTTTTCACTTTTTGTTTCTACCAGGGTAGAGGCCATGTTGAACTGGCCTCTTTTCAGGACTTTTATTTCCCCCTGGATGGCTGTTGGGAGGGAGGGAAAGTGTTTTCTGAATGGCTGTTAATAGTTTTAGATCATTACAACTTATGTAACTTTCAAAGGTTGTAAAATTATACAAAGAAAAAAAAAGGCAAACTATAGGATAACACAGAGCCCTTTTTGAAAATAAATTGGCATTGGAGTGTTTTACCCTCTAGCTGTTTTACTTAGAATGTAACATAAACATATGCTGCCTACCCACCTAAAAATGTACCTCTGTACTACAAGAGGGCCCTGGGCCTCTGCTTTCCATATTCACATTTGTTTGGCCAGAGTTGGAGTCCCAAGGGAAGAGCACTAGTGGCAGATGGTAGGGAACTGATCTGGCCTGTGCAATGGGCACAGAGCACAAGGAGTCACAGCATGTCTTCTACCTTACCATGGCAGTATGGAGACGGTCCAGAACACAGTCTTCTTGCCATGGGGTGTTGCTGTCTCTGGTGGTGCTGCATGTCTGTGGCTCATGTTTATTCTTGAAACTGAGGTTTACCGGGATCTGGCTACTGGGGCTAGAGCCCACAGCAGAATGGGGGTGGGTCTGTGGCCCTCCAAACTAGGGGACATAAGTTCAGCACACTGTTTTCCTTTTGTCTCCTAAAGATAGGGATCTACTTCTGAAGGAAATTGTTCCTCCCAAATAAATTTGCTTTACCTTGGTCCTTTCTTTTGTGCCAGTATTCAAGTGGTATAGCTCTCAGCAGGGTCACACTTGGCCATACCTGACACTGTCTTGCTGCATTCTCTGACAAACATCAAGGTCAGAATTCAGCATAGCCCTTCTTAGGGCACTGGCCTTCCTAACATGGGGGCCAGGTTAGCACAAGTTATTTTCATGTTACCTAGAGCATGTCCAGAGGTTGCTCTGAGGCTGAGGTGTATTCCCTCTTGCCTGGTTCCAGCTGCCAGAAGTTACAATCCATCCTGGGGTCTGGGAGTCCAAGGCCATGGGACTCCTTGGTTTGTGGTCCCAGATCCTGTACTAGGAGGGTCTGGTCAGAGGAATAGACCAGCTTTTGCACAGTCAAGTGCAAGGGAGCAGGTAGTTTGCCTGGTGTCCTACCTATCCTAAATCTGGTCCTGGGGGCCTTTGAAAAGTTAGATTTGTGATCTCTGAGGTTTTTGTGCCTTTGTTCAGTGCTTCCACTCTAGGCCAGTCAGAGCAGTCTATACTTTTCCAGGCCTGCTTGACCTCTAGAGAGAGCTGATACAGAAATCTGTGAATATTGTGATAGAAATTCTTTGATATTCATACATTTCACCTGCAAGTCAGCAATTTCCCAGCTACCATGTGAGCTATAAAACAGAACCATTCTTGAAGACAAATGATAGCTGTAATTCTTGGAATCATGAGGTCCGTGGCTAGTTGGAGGTTCCCTTTCTCCCTCCTCATGTTTTGTCTCTTCCTGTGTTCCCAGCAAGGAAAGGACTGTGGGGTGGATTGGGAGAACAAATTAGGCGTATAGCAAATGAACCCAGAATGGAACAGTGGGGAGCTGTGAATGAGGAGAGGACCTGCTGCAGGATCTGGAGGTCAGGTATGAATGCTGTGTTGGCACAAGGAATAAATATCCTGGCGTCTGGAGCCTTTACCTCTCCATCAAGTCCTTCCTGTGATACCACCATGGCACAGGATCTGAGTTGCAGCTCTGCACCCTGAATCACGCCCTGGTCATTGTCTGGGCCACAGGGCTACTAGATGCTGGAGCTGCAGGGTTTTCTGTGCTCAGACTGTAGCCTGTAGCTCTTGGCCTGTGTAGAGCTGTTCCTGTGCCCCCAATGGCTGTTGTTTGTTAACATCATCAGGACGATGGGAAAGGTCAGGCAGAATTTTTCTGTCCTACAAAGGGCAGAAGAGAAAGGACACAGTATTTTCATGAATTTACCATATCTTTTTGTTTTTCTTCAAAGAAAAAGTTAATTGGGGCAACGTCATCTACCCAAAGTTGAGTGGTTTATTCACAATAAACTGTAAGCTTCTGATTATAAAAATGTGTCTAGAGTCTTTCTTCATGGGGTCTAGGTAGTCTTCTGAGCCCACAGGGGTCTGGACAGTGAACACCAGAGGAGTACCTTCCTATCAGTCAGCCCCTTCCAGAGGGCTATGGAGGCCCCACTAGCCAAACTCGGCTCTATTTTCCCTTTCTGGCTGTCAGTGGGGAGGGCACCAGTGAGCGATCCCAGTGGAAGGAAGTAGAAAATCCTGGCAGTTTTCAGTTCTCATCTCCCTCCCTGTGTATAGGCTGAATCATTCCCCAACACAAACAGATCCCAGGGTTGTAGTAGGGTACTGATATAAATGTCCCAAACCCCCCATTCTGAGATCTCTGGGCCGCTCTAAAGCAGACATGGGAGTATAGAGCTGTGGAGTATGGCAGAACAAAACTCTAGCTTCATGGGAGCCCTAAGGCTTATGAAGAGACAACTTGGGATAGAAACTAAATTGTGGACTATAATCTCGAGTGAAGGACAGGAAATGGGGTTTGGATTGATTAAGGGGACCACATTTGTGGGTATCAGGAGTTGGGGAAATGTGAATGTTAGGTAGCTCGAGGGTAAAGTGGAGGCTCCATAGCTGTCGGCAGCATGCACAGGGTATCTGTGGCCAGAAGAGGCCTCATATGTTGCCAGTCTGAACTCTGCAACTGTTCCTCTGGACCTCAGGTGTGCCAACCCCCATGCTTGGCACCTGGGCATGCAGTAGTATGCAAGTGATGCTTGTGCTCTACCTTCCAGGAGCCTCCAGTCCATGGGGGACACAGAAGGAATTGGTCACTAGGGAGTGATTTTTGTTTTGTTGACACAGTCTCGCTCTATCACACAGACTGGAGTACAATGGCATGATCTCTGCTCTCTGTGGCCTCCACTCGGGCTCAAGCGATCATTCCACTTCAGCCTTCTGAGTAGCTGGGACCAGTGTATGCCACCACACTCACCTAATTTTTGTATTTTTTTTGTAGAGACGGGGTCTTGTCATGTTGTCCAGACTGGTCTCGAACTCCTGAATTCATGCTGTGTTCCCGCCTTGGCTTCTCAAAGTGCTGGGATTACAAGCATGAGCCATCGTGTCCAGCCCACTAGTGAATGTTTTTACTGGAGCAGCAAGGCCAGGAGCAAAGGATCACCCATGCACAAGACCACTCCTGCAGATCAGTGGGGCAGGATACTATGGCCTTAAGAGACAAGGAGATAGTACCTTCTAGCAAAGTCAAGAGGAGAGATTTTCCATGTAGTCCGCAGGGGTTCACACAGTAAGTACCTGAGCATCTTCTGCATAACAGGCTCTGTTTGGGGCACTGAGGACCCAGCCACCAATGAGCGGGATAGAAAGGGGTAGAAGCGGAACCAGCTTCTGTCCTCACAAGATAATCACACTAATGTTAACTGAGAACATACCCATTTAGTCCTCACAGCAACACCTTCAGATAAGTGCTGTCATCATCACATTACAAAGCCATTTAAAATGAGAGCTAGGGGCCCAGCATGGTGACTCACGCCTGTAATCCCAGCACTTCAGGAGGCTGAGACAGGAGAATTGCTTGAACCCCAGGAGTTCATGGCCAGCCTGGACAACATAGGGAGAGACCTGTTTATACAAAAAGAAAAAAAATTAGCTGGGCATGGTGGTAGACACCTGTAGTCCCAGCTACTTGGGAGGCTGAGGTAGGAGGATTACTTGGGCCTGGTGGGCAGGTGCTGCAGTAAGCCGTGATCACATCACTGCACTCCAGCCTGGGTGACAGAGCAAGACCCTGTCTTAAAAAAAACTAGGCTGGGTGCGGTGGCTCACACCTGTAATCCCAGCACTTTGGGAGGCCAAGGTGGGCGGATCACGAGGTCAAGAGATCAAAACCTTCCTGGCCAACATGGTGAAACCCCGTCTCTACTAAAAATACAAGAATTAGCCGGGCGTGGTGACACACGCCTGTGTTCCCAGCTACTCAGGAGGCTGAGCCAGAAGAATTGCTTGAACCCAGGAGGCAGAGCTCGCAGTGAGCGGAGATTGCACCACTGCACTCCAGCCTGGTGACAGAGCAAGACTCTGTCTCAAAAAAAAAAAAAAACGCACATCAATACAGCTGGGTGCAGTGGCTCACACCTGTAATCCCAGCATTTTGGGAGGCCAGGGCGGGCCCCTGTCTCTACTAAAAAATACAAAAAATTAGCTGGGTGTGGTGGTGGGCACCTGTGAGCTACTTGGGAGGCTAAGGCAGGACAATCACTTGAATCCAGAAGGCGGAGATTGTGGTGAGCTGAGTGCCACAGCACTCCAGCCTGGGTGTGACAGAGCAAGACTCTGTCTCAAAGAAACAAAAAAAGAACATAGGTCAATACAAGGCCTGGATTTGGTAGTGTATACTGATAAAAAGGGCCAGGCATTTTAAAGGACAGAAATTCTGGTTTATGAAGTGGTTATGTAAGTCCTACAGCTGACAGCAGGTGGAGCAGCTCTGAAACCTGCTTGCTTTCTGTTTGACAGTGAGCTGAGTACCTGTGTTTAGCCTAGGCCTAACTCAGGTGATAGGTGTAAGAATGGAGTTCAGGGGCTAGGCACGGTGGCTTATGCCTGTAATCCCAGCTCTTTGGGAGACTGAGGCAGGTGGATCACGAGGTTGGGAGTTCAAGACCAGCCTGGCCAAGATGGTGAAACCCATCTCTATTAAAAATACAAAAATTAGCCAGGCATGGTGGCAGGCACCTGTAATCCCAGCTACTAAGGAGGCTGAAACAGGAGAGTTGCTTGAAACCGGGAGGCAGAGGTTGCAGTGATTTGAGATCAAACCGCTGCACTCCAGCCTGGATGACAGAGCGAGATTCGGTCTCAAAAATAAATAATAGGCCAGGCACGGTGGCTCAAGCCTGTAATCCCAGCACTTTAGGAGGCCGAGGCGGGTGGATCATGAGGTCAAGAGATCGAGATCATCCTGTCAACATGGTGAAACCCCGTCTCTACTAAAAATACAAAAAATTGGCCAGGCGCGGTGGCTCAAGCCTGTAATCCCAGCACTTTGGGAGGCCGAGGCAGGTGGATCACGAGTTCAAGAGATCGAGACCATCCTGGTCAACATGGTGAAACCTTGTCTCTACTAAAAATACAAAAAATTAGCTGGGCATGGTGGCGCGTGCCTGTAATCCCAGCTACTCAGGAGGCTGAGGCAGGAGAATTGCCTGAACCCAGGAGGCGGAGGTTGCGGTGAGCCGAGATCGCGCCATTGCACTCCAGCCTGGGTAATGAGCGAAATTCCTTCTCAAAAAAAAAAAAAAGATGAGCCCGAGATGCTTCAAAAATTTGATTTAACTTAGCAATATCCAGAGTTAAATTATTCTCTTTGCCTAGTAGATGGCGCTTAATCATCTCCCAATGATGTTCAGAAGCATCAATACAAGAAAACAATTTACAATTTTGATATGTTACCTTGGAGTTAAGAAAATTGATTTGTGGGCCGGGCATGGTGGCTCAAGCCTGTAATCCCAGCACTTTGGGAGGCTGAGGCGGGTGGATCACGAGGTCAAGAGATCGAGACCATCCTGGTCAACATGGTGAAACCCCGTCTCTACTAAAAATACAAAAAATTAGCTGGGCATGGTGGTGTGTGCCTGTAATCCCAGCTACTCGGGAGGCTGAGGCAGGAGAATTGCCTGAACCCGGGAGGCGGAGGTTGCGGTGAGCCGAGATTGCGCCATTGCACTCCAGCCTGGGTAACAAGAGTGAAACTCCATCTCAAAAAAAAAAAAAAAAAAAGAAAATTGATTTGTAACCTTCTCACTACTAAAAGATAAGGAGGTTTAACACAGCTCTGACTCCAAAGAGTTTTATTACAAGTTTTAATGAATAATAATGATTGTAACAGAATTTTGTATATTTTTTTTCAGGCCTTTATTTGTGTTAGGGCCATTAATTTCCAAAGTTTTTTTGTTTAATTTCCAATTTTGGCCAAATTGTTTTTGGTTGTGGTTTTACCTTGCCTCCATTTCTCCAGATGATCGGGACATTTGTTTTAGTGTGTATTAATTTGAAACTGTTATTACTTTTTGTTATTACATTTAAATAATTTTGTACCACAACAAGAGGGCTGACTGGTGCAATTAATGCTAAATATCCCCTTAGGGGACCAATTAATAACAATTCCATGGGAATTATTGTGCAGCACCTTAAGTCTCTGCCAAAACACAGTTTTTCCAAATTAATATTTTTAACTTTGAGGACCATTCTTTATTTTGTCTGCTTTTATGTTTTGGGGGGCAAAACATAGTTGTTTTATTTCCTGAATTATATAAAAAATACTAAGACCAGAAATTATATGTTAATAAAGGAAGGAAAGAAATATATGTCCATTATGTAAAATTTTCTTTTACTTTTGCCCCAGCTTCGGTAGTACTCACTGTAATGGTGATAACCGTGGCTCATGATAAGGCTTTAAATGTTTGATGTTTGATGGTTCCCACACTGGTTACTGATTTGGACCTGAAGAGAGACAAACAAATCCTCTCCCCACATGTTATTGTATTGTCTTTTTTCCCAACTTTTTGTTAATGGTCTTGCCACCAGATTAATTGCCCTAAGTTCTCTTCTTTGTATTGTTTATTCAGGTGATGTTTAGCCACTGTTATTTGTTGTCACCTTGGCAAGCTTAAAAAATTTTTAAGTTAGTAATGCTAAGTTAAATTGCATTTGTTCCCCCCCACCTTTTTTTTTGTAAATGTTTTTTATGTTCTATTGTTTTTTTTAACAATAGCTTGTTCTTGTGAATTATAAGGAATTTCAGTAGTATGACTAATTTTTTATTGTAACAGAAACTTTTGGAAAGATTTCTTGCTGTAACCAGGGCCATTGTTTATTTTAATTTTTTGTGGAACGCCCATAATAGCAAAGCAAGATGACAGATGGTTTTTAGCATGAGCTGTGCTTTCTATGGTTTGGCATGTAGCCCAAATGAAATGAGAAAAAGTATCAACAGTAACATGTAAGAGACTTTTATAGGCCAGGTGCGGTGGCTCATGTCTGTAGTCCCAGCACTTTGGAAGGCCGAGGCGGGTGGATCACGAGGTCAAGAGATCGAGACCATCCTGTTCAACATGGTGAAACTCCGTCTCTAATAAAAATACAAAAAATTAGCTGGGCGTTGTGTGCAGAGTTCGCACCAAGGGCTCGAGACAGCAGCGTGACTCGCCCCAGTTTGGCTGCAGGACCTATCTGCACTCCCCATCTCCAGGGCTGTCAGGTGAGACAAAAGACCGCGGGCTGAGCCACTGAAGCAACAACAGAATGCAAAGCAAAGGTCTGCAGTTTATGAGGACATTGTGCTGTCTGTTTCCATGTCCCCATCAGTCTCTGTGTAAGCAATAAACTTGCTGCAATTGAGATGCCTAAGAGGAGCAGAGACCTCTGCCCATATTTTCCCTGGAGCTAAGCCTGTGTTTTAGCTCCTGATGAAAAACAGGTTTAACCAGCCACCTTAAGGGCACCATTGTATCTTTGAAATGTAAAATCTTTGAAATGTAAACTACTATCACAAGCCCCCTTAAACTGCTTTCTGAGCAGATATCACAAGCCCCTGATAACTATTTTTTATGGAGTTTCTATTTCCTTTCTGTCTACCCCTTTTCTGCTGAGATAAAGTAAATGTAAACAAGAAAAAAGGTATAAAAGCTGTAACCCACAAAAATAAATTTGCTGCATTTTGACCATAATTTTCACGCAGCCCTCCAGACTCCACTTTTCTATATTCTTTCACTTCCGCGCACTGCCTCTCTCAGGTTGAACGAGATATCTACGTTGGCGGTCTCGGGGACTCCCGCTGGACGGTAGTCCCCCGGCAGATGTGCCGGACCCCTACAGGGCGTGGTGGCGCGTGCCTGTAGTCCCAGCTACTCAGGAGGCTGAGGCAGGAGAATTGCGTGAACCCAGGAGGCGGAGGTTGCGGTGAGCCGATACCGCGCCATTGCACTCCAGCCTGGGTAACAAGAGCAAAACTCAGTCTCAGAAAAAAAAAAGAGACTTTTATGATCTTTGTAAAAGAGCAGGTTAGTGTTTTAAGAAAAACCTGTGTGCTTTAATGTGTAGTTTACAGAACACTAGATGATACTTTTAAATTTTACCCAATATGTTTACACACCAAATTTCTTTACAATTGTTTTAAAACTTGTTTAGACCTTGAAAACAAAATTTATACAACCTACTTGCATAAATTTCCTTTTATAACATTTTTACAACTTTAACTGACAAACTTAGAAACGCTAACCTTTATTTTATAACCTTTTTTACTAAGGGTGTAATTTTATAGCTTTCTTAATATTTCTATTTTTCTCTTTAATTTTTCTGTTTTTGTCTGTCTTGGTTAAGTAGTGTTGTTATTACTTGTAATTTTGCTTGCTTATCACCATAAGCTAATGGCCCAGGCAGTGAAATGTGGGCTTGAGATTAGACTTAATAAAGCTGTTTTAAGATTTTGTTGCAAATAAACTGAGCAAGCCAAGTTACTTACTATATTTATGGGCCGAGCAGAAAGTTTTTTAATGCTAATATCACAGCTTTAATTTCAGCTTTTTTGACTGCTAGTAAACTTAGATTGGGTGATTGAATTACGTGGTCTCTATTAGACTAGTTTTTTTCTTGTTTACTTGATCCATTAGCAAACAATGTTAAAGTATTCGGTATTAAGTGCAATAGTGCTTTGAATTGCTCTTTTCTTAAAGGAATTTTGGCGATGCTAGGATTAACTTAGCAATTTGCTGCATTAATTTTATTATTATTATTTTTTTTAAAGATGGGGTTTCACCATGATGGCCAGGCTGGTCTTGAACTCCTGAGCTCAGGTGATCCACCCACCTCGGCCTCCCAAAGTGCTAGGATTACAGGCCGTGAGCCACTGTGCACCCGGCCTACTGCATTAATTATTAAGATGGCAAGTTGAAATTGGTAACATGAAGTTTTAAAAAGAAATCTGGGCTGGACGCAGTGGTTCACACCTGTCATCCCAGCACTTTGAGAGGCTGAGTCCAGTGGATCACGAAGTCAGGAGTTCGAGACCAGCCGGGCCAAGATGGTGAATGAACCCATCTCTACTAAAAACACAAAAATTAGCTGGGCGTTGTGACACACGCCTGTAATCCTAGTTTCTCGGGAGGCTGTGGCAGGAGAATCGCTTGAACTCTGGAGGGTTGCAGTGAGCTGAGATTGTGCCACTGCACTCCAACCTGGGTGACAGAGTGAGACTCCATCTCAAAAAAAAAAAAAAAAAAAAAAGAAATCAGAAAACATCTCTGGAAGCAGAGACTTAAATATACTTTAACCATGTGCCTGAAGTCACAGGCTGAATAGTTTAAATCCAACAATTGAGTTTTTAAGTTAAGTTTATGGACTTCAGAGTGGCAAACTGTTTTGAATACAGTTATTCACTAGCTGAGTAAGGACTACCTTTAATCATTCTATGCATATTTTTTTTTACAACACTTACATACAATTTTCTTTTACTTTTTGAGAATTGGCTTAACATTTTTACTTTTTAACTTAATTTGCTTTAAAGTTTTTCTTCGAGACCATCCTGGTCAACATGGTGAAACCCCGTCTCTACTAAAAATACAAAAATTAGCTGGGCATGGTGGCGCGCACCTGTAGTCCCAGCTACTCGGGAGGCTGAGGCAGGAGAATTGCTTGAACCCAGGAGGCAGAGGTTGCGGTGAGCTGAGATCATGCCATTGCACTCCAACCTGGGTAACAAGAGCGAAACTCCGTCTCAAAATAAATAAATAAATAAATAAAAATAATAAATAATAAAAAAGTTTTTCTTTAAAGGGCTTGGTTTTACATGCTTAGCTTTTAATTGCTTTTTAACTAATTTGTGGGCCTTCTTTTATAGCTGATTGACATTTATTTAAATTTACAAAATTAAGGGTAAATAAGGCTTGTGTCAGTAGTGTTGCTGTTTTAAGATATTAAGCAGGTTTTGCATCTTCTCAGTTAATTAGGAAATTATTTTCTTTTTTTTTTTTTCTTTTTTTTTTTTTTGAGACGGAGTTTCGCTCTCATTACCCACCCAGGCTGGAGTGCAATGGCAGGATCTCGGCTCACCGCAACCTCCGCCTCCTGGGTTCAGGCAATTCTTCTGCCTCAGCCTCCTGAGTATCTGGGATTACAGGCCTGCGCCACCACACCCAGCTAATTTTTTGTATTTTTAGTAGAGATGGGGTTTCACCATGTTGGCCAGGATGGTCTCAATGTCTTGACCTCGTGATCCACCTGCCTCGGCCTCCCAAAGTGCTGGGATTACAGGCGTGAGCCACCGCACCCAGCCAGGAAATTCTTTTCTACTGAGGAGCAAAGTTATAGGGCTCACTTTTAATTGTTCCTTTTTAATTTATGGGCTAGCTGTAATTTCTTTTCCTTTAGAGGTTACTGCTTTACTTAAATTGGATGTTAAAAGAGCTACCTTAGAGATAACACAGTAGTTATTATTAGAATTTAAATTTTACTTAAACCTAAGCAGAGAATTACAATTTTGGATGCTACTTGTTTACAAAGAACACATAAAATTTTACTGCGGGAAACCTGTAGAGCTCAGTGCACAGGCACCTGGACCTGGCCCCGCCCAACTGCTGCTTGCTGCTGACAGTTTTCTGCCTGCGTTTCACTCATGCTGCTCCTTCCTCGCACCAGGGAAACCTTTGCTGGCCTTGGGCTGAGCCTGTTGGCTTGAATGCCACTGCCAGAGCAGCAAGTTTCACTTTTGAAACGAATTTTGATTACTCTAATGGAGGAATGTCAGGTGGATCTGGCCACTCTGATAAAATACAGAGAAGGGGCTCACAGACTCCTTTCTCCTCATTTATTTTTTTCTTTTTTCTTAACTGGGTTATCTTTAATTTTCTTATCCCAGTTATAGTCTCCTTCTTCCCCAACTCCTTCTTTATAAAGCAATGAAAGGCAAAGAAAGCAACAGAAGAGCGGAGTAAGAAAGCACAGATTCACTGAAAACAACTGACAGAGCAAGCGGCTAGTACTAATTTTAACTCCCCCACTTCTAAAGAGGTGCTTCACTAAAAGTGAATAAAGTAACATACTTGCTTTCAGCTTGTCCCATTTTTACCTGGTATCCTTCCGAGCGCATCTACTCATGCGTAGTGCTAATTAGTTTTGTCCTCGGGAGTCCTTTGCTCGTTGTTCCTCCACTTTACCACGCTCAGGCGTTCCTTCACCGAAATTCTCTAGCCCTACGGTTGGGCACCAGAATGTACAGAACCAGCCCCCACACCCCACCCGTGGGTACCCTGAGTTCTGTGGCAACAAAGGAATGAGAAAAAGATAATGAAAGTGGGACCAGGGGACCATCACTTTGTACTGGAGGCAGTGAAGGCCCTGAACTCCGGTTTCCACAATATTTATTGAACACAATAACTTTTATCTATAGTGCAGGTGGCAGGGTGAATCGGTGAAGGGAGGCTGTGCGTCAAACATAAAACTGATAGCAGTGGCGGTTTATGTGAGTTTCTTACAAGCTAAAAGTATATGCTTATCAATAGACAATGCAGCTGGTGGGAGTGGGCTTAGCAAGGAGCCTACATGTCTGGTTACATTCCAGTGCTTCAAGGGAGTGTTATGTCCTTGGTCACTATGTTTAGAATGTCAGAGCTTAGGACACTCTGCACCTGGGAACATGCTGGCATAGAGAGGCCTTCCTCCCCAGAGGCCTCCGCAGCCTTCTACAGTTTATTATTCCTGATATCTTTTATACATTACTTAGAACCAGTTTATGTAGGCACACTGTAAACCCCTCCTCCACTGCTGCTTCCCCCAACAGGACAGAGGAAGACTCTGTCTCGGGAAAAAAAAAAAAGAAAATTTAGGAGATTTGGGTTGGGCACAGTGGCTCTGGCCTGTAATCCCAGCACTTTGGGAGACCAAGACAGGTGGATCACCTGAGGTCAGGAGTTTGAGACCAGCTTGGCCAACATGGTGAAACCCTGTCTCTACTAAAAATAGAAAAATTAGCCAGGCATGCTGGCGGGCACCTGTAGTCCCAGCTACTTGGGAGACTGAGACAGGAGAATTGCTTGAACCTGGGAGGCAGACGTTGCAGTGAGCGGAGATTGTGTCACTGCACTCCAGCCTGGGAAACAGAGTGAGACTCTATCTCAAAAAAAAAAAAAAAAAAAATTAGGAGATTTGTATGGTTTTGGAAAATCTGACTTGCTTCTATTACACTATTAACTCAGAAATTGAGAGACTTTTGACCTAACTAGGGTGGATTAATGACAAGCTTCAGGGAATTTGAACAGTCTTAAATTGATAATACAGTTTTCATCTATTTGAATCAGAAACATTTTCTTTAGCAGTAATTATATTTCTTTTAGAATTCATTTTAGGGGGGAGGGGTAAGTCATCACTGCCTCTGCCTCTGGGGGAGTCCAGGCCTGCCTGGTTGCCTTCAGAGCTGTTAATACTCCATCTGAAGTGAAATACTGGCTACTGGTAGTGTGTAGTTAGCACCTCAGACTTGGCTAAGCCACAAGACCTCCCAATGCTGCCTGCTCCCTTTCTGTCTAGAAACAGAACCTCTCCTTTTGTGAAGCAGCGTTCATTTATCCTATCCTAAGGAGATTGACCAAAGTGGTCCCTGAGGGTGGCTGGATTAGGAGATGCCCCCATGTGCTTGCATCATGGAAACTGCCACTGTGTGTAAAATCTTGGAAGAAAGGCTGGGTGCTGTGGCTCATGCCTGTAATCTCAGCACTTTGGGAGGCCGAGATGGGCAGATCACTCAAGGTCAGGAGTTCAAGACCAGCCTGGCCAACATGGTGAAACCCCATCTCTACTAAAAATACAAAAAAAAAAAAAATTGGCCTGGTATGGTGGCAAATGCCTGTAGTCCCAGCTACTCTGGAGGCTGATGCAGGAGAATTGCTTGAACCGGGAGGCAGAGGTTGCAGTGAGCCAAGATGGAGCCACTGCACTCCAGCCTGGGCTACAGAGCAAGACTCTGTCTCAAAAAAGAAAAAAAATATATATATATATGAAGAAAGAGGTAGGCCTGCACTTGGATCCCCTGACCCGTCTTGACTGAGGGGCCTAGAAAATACAGACTATGCTTTGCTGTGGGGAAGGGAGAGGAGGTGGGAGAAGAGCTGAGGGGTCTTACCAGGGTAGGGAGAAACCACCAGTGTGACCTTCCTTAAAGGTGTTGCTCTTGTCTGCAAGTCCACCTGGGGAGGGGGGTCAGCTTCTGCCCTGGGGGTGTGTAGTTATCTCTTCCTGAGGGTAACCAGCCCTAGAAGAGCAGAGATGCTTTGGCACTTGACCATTGATAGGTATGTCTCCTCCCCACCCCCATTTTTGGTGATAATCAGTTTAATTTTTTTCTTTTTCTTTTCTTATTTTTAAGGTGGGGTTTCACCATGTTGGTCAGGCTGGTCTTGAACTCCCGACCTCAAGTGATCCGGCCGCCTTGGTCTCCAAAACCCTTGGATTACAGGCGTGAGCCACCACACCCGGCCAGTTTAATTTTTTTCTGAAGTAATGGTGTCTCCGTTGTGGAAGAGTCCCTTCCCGCCTCTTCACACGTGCCAACTCTGATGAATGGGGTGTTCCATACACCTGAGCACTGGCTCATTCCTGCGGGCTGCCATGGGGGGCTGACCTTCCTATTGCCAGGCCTCTTCCAGGATGCCCTCTCTGACCTCCAATGCAACCCTGCACATCAGGCAGCTTGCCTAAGGCCTACCTGACTCGGGCCGGATTTCCCAGGAGATCCGGACCGACCGCGGAACCGAGCTCCAAGAACGCCTGCGAGGAGGCCATGGGCCCTACTCTATCCCCCCCCCACACACACACAGTTCCCGCCTCCGGCGCCCCGAAACGCCGCAGTGTTGAGTCATCTCGGCGCTGCGCTCCCCACCCCCGCTCTGGGAGCCAGAAGATGCAGACGATACTTTTCCGGGAGGCAAGAGAGCGTCTTTACGCAGGCACCGAGAAGCTCCCAGTGGGGTATGCCTTAATGGTGCCACTCTTGTCTGCGTCTACACCTGGAGGCCTGGCTTCTGATTTGGGGAGTGTACAGCTCTGCCTGGCGACAACCCAGCTTGGGAAGAGAAGCCCCAGCGTGGGCCGGGGCTCAAGACTCAGGGAGGCCGAACCCTGGGTGGGCGACTACGGGCGGGCACAGCACCCCCAGGCACTGTCTCCTAGTGACCGCGGCGCTCGCGGGCCCGGCGACCGTTGTCCGGGCGACTGCGCAGCACAAGCACTCCCGCAGCCCCTCCCCTGGGCGCGCGCGCGACCTGGGTGCCATGGCGGCGGCGGCGGTGACAGGCCAGCGGCCTGAGACTGCGGAGGACAGGGAGGCCTCGAGGCCGCAGTGGGCGCCACCAGAGCACTGCAAGGCGCAGGCGGCGGCCGGGCTGGGCGACGGCGAGGACGCACCTGTGCGGCCGCTGTGCAAGCCCCGCGGCATCTGCTCGCGCGCCTACTTCCTGGTGCTGATGGTATTCGTGCACCTGTACCTGGGCAACGTGCTGGCGCTGCTGCTCTTCGTGCACTACAGCAACGGCGACGACAGCAGCGACCCCGGGCCCCAGCACCGCGCCCAGGGCCCCGGGTCCGCTCCCGCCTTAGGTCCCCTCACCCGGCTGGAGGGCATCAAGGTGAGGACCTCCCCGCACCGCCGCGCTCCTGGCCGGAAACGGCTGAGCCCGAGAGAACCGGCGCTCAGCCCGGGTTCCCCACATTGCCCCCGGCGCTGCTGTGCGTCGGTCCGCGCTCCCACTCACTCGCCTGCTGTCACGCTCCGGGCCGGAGCGACTTGGCCTCTCTTGGGCAGCGCGGTCTGGCGCCTCAGCTGCCCGCTGTGCGCCTTTCCCTTAGGTGGGGCACGAGCGTAAGGTCCAGCTGGTCTCCGACAGGGATCATTTCATCCGAACCCTCAGCCTCAAGCCGCTGCTCTTCGGTAAGTCCGCCAGATACTCCTGGGAAGGGCCAGGGGCTGCGGTTTGGTGGCTACCTTGAGGCTCATTGTGATCACGTGACCTCTATTTGAAAATGGCTGCTTCAAAGCAGCCCTTCCAGAGGATTACCAAAGTGAAGGACCCTCCCCCTCCTCGGAATAGGGTAACACTCCCTCTCATCCCTACTCCCTGCAGTCCATTCTTCCATCACAGGGCTTTGTGAGCTTGAGGTTGGCGTCTAAACATTTCATTGCAGCTGTCTTCTGACAGTCTGCCACCTTTGATTCTGTCACCTTCTAGAACTGGGGGAAGATGGGAAACATAACCAGATTTCTGCAAACCTCAGGACCTCTGGGGAAAATCCCAATGCCCAAGTGGGTCTTGTGTTATGATGAGAAGCAGGCCATTCAAATGTAGGTAAACTGGCCGGAGCAGCAGTCAGAACCTCAGCTTTTGCTGCCAGCACTCTGGAATTCTCACGGTGGAGTCTTTGTTCAGCCATCATGGGCAAAGCCTTCTAGGGTAACTCCCCTTGGAGCCACAACATAGCTCATGTTTTCTGAGTTCTAGTTATGTGCTTGCCTTGGTATGATTATTTCATTTAATTCCTGCAACCCCTCTGTGAAGTGGGTATAGATCCTACCCTCAGGCCAATGGGGGAGAAAGGCCCAGAGAGCTGCTGTGGCTTGGCTAGGCTGGCACAGTTACTTCAGTGGTGAAGCTAGGATTAGAACCCACATAGCCTGCCTCTAAGACCTGTGCGCTAAAGCCACAGTGCGAGCTGTGAAGACCCCAGAGTCCTTCGAAGACCAACAGTGTCAACAAGGTGGGGATTCCTTGTTCCATGGACCTTGCCCAGGGTAAGTTTTTGCAGCACAGCCCTAGGTACCTGGCCTCCATGACAAACATATTTGCAAACCCAGGGCCATTCCTGTCTGCCAGGGGATGGAATGGGTTTGGAGCTGGGGCCAAAGTAGAGCATCTGAGCACATGTCATTACTGCCAGGGAGAGGGTCCTGGTTGGGGGATAATGCCTAGGCCTCTTAGAATGATGTCATATGCATGCTGTTTGTGGGAAATAGATTATGCTGTCTGTCAGTCGTGTTGTGGGAGGGGCACCCAAAGCTGGTTTTTGTTGTTACTACTATTACTATTGAATAACACTGAAGTCTGTGCCAGGCACTATTTTAGGTGCTGGGAACACAGTACTGAACTAAATATAAACAACGAAAGAAAACCCTGAAGCTGACATTCAAATGAAGAGGAAACAGACAATAAACAAACAAATATATGTATACATTGGTGTGTCAGATGGTGATATGTGATTGCAGACAAGTAAGGCAGATTTTTTTTCTTTTTTCTTTTTTGCCAACGTAAAATAGCAGACAGGGCCAGGCATGGTGGCTCACACCTATAATCCCAGCACTTTGGGAGGCCAAGGAGGGCAGATCACTTGAGGTCAGGAATTTGAGGCCACCCTGACCAATATGGTGAAACCCCATCTCTACTAAAAATACAAAAGTTAGCCAGGTGTTGTGGCAGGCACCTGTATTCCCAGTAACTTGGGAGGCTGAGGCATGAGAATTACTTGAACCCAGGAGGCAGAGGTTGCAGTAAGCCAAGATAGTGCCACTGCACTTCAGCCTGGGCGACAGAGACACTGTCTCAAAAAAAAAAAAAAAAAAAAAATAGCAGACAGTAAGGCAGAAGTTCAGCTGGGATTGAAACTCTTGTTTTTTGTTTCTTTTTTCTTGAGACAGAGTTTCGCTCTTGTTGCCCAGACTGAAGTACAATGGCGAGATCTTAGCTCAATGCAACCTCTGCCTCCTGGGTTCAAGCAATTTTCCTGCCTCAGCCTCCCAAGTAGCTGGGATTACAGGCATGTACCACCACACCTGACTAATTTTTTGCATTTTTAATAGAGGTAGGATCACTGTTTTAGTCACGATGGTCTCAATCTCCTGACCTCAGGTGATCATCCGCCCCCCTCAGCCTCCCAAAATGCTGGGATGACAGGTGTGAGCCACCACGCCTGGCTAGAACTCTTTTTTTTGAGACGGAGTTTCACTCTTCTTACCCAGGCTGGAGTGCAATGGCGCGATCTCGGCTCACCGCAACCTCCGCCTCCTGGGTTCAAGCAATTCTCCTGCCTCAGCCTCCTGAGTAGCTGGGATTACAGGTACGCGCCACCATGCCCAGCTAATTTTTTGTATTTTTAGTAGAGATGGGGTTTCACCATGTTGACCAGGATGGTCTCAATCTCATGACCTCATGATCCACCCGCCTCAGCCTCCCAAAGTATTGGGATTACAGACGTGAGCCACTGCGCCTGGCTAGAACTCTTAATGAGGTAGCCAGGGTGGACCTGCCTGAGAAAAGTATTTGAGCAAAGATTTGTGGAAAGTATGGGATAAAGCCAGATGACTGTCAGGAAAGAGGGATCCAGAGACCAATACTCACCCCATTACTACTACACTACTACGAACAGACACGTCTGAGGAGGTGGTGTTTTCTCTCAGTGGCCCTCCTGGGATCTGTATATATCTAATTCATATTTGTGTTAGGTTAATTGAGCCATGAGGCCAAAGTCTTCCTAATAAGCAGTTTGTCCTATAAAGCAGAGAATGAGCCTGGTGCTGTGGCTCACGCCTATAATCCCAGTACTTTGGGAGGCTGAGCCAGGTGGATCACTTGAGGTCAGGAGTTCAAGACCAGCCTGGCCAACATGGTGAAACCCTGTCTCTACTAAAAATACAAAAATTAGCTGGGCACGGTGGCAGATACATGTAATTCCAGCTACTCAGGAGGTGGCTGAGGCAGGAGAATTGCTTGAACCCAGGAGGTGGAGGTTGCAGTAAGCCAAGATCATGCCACTGCACTACAGTGTGACAGAGTAAGATTCCTTCACCAAAAACAAAAAAAAAAAAGCTTAAGCCAGTAATCCCAGCACTTTGGGAGGCCGAGGCAGGTGGATCACGAGTTTAAGAGATCGAGACCATCCTGGTCAATATGCTGAAACCCCGTCTCTACTAAAAATACGAAAAAAAAAAAAATTAGTTGTGCATGGTGGCGCGTGCTTGTAATCCCAGCTACTCAGGAGGCTGAAGCAGGAGAATTGCCTGAACCCAGGAGGCAGAGGTTGCGGTGAGCCGAGATCGCGCCATTGCACTCCAGCCTGGGTAACAAGAGTGAAACTCCATCTAAAAAAAAAAAAAAAAAAAGCAGAGCATGAGAAACCCAGTTCTGAAGTCACCAAGAGCAACTTACGAAAAGCAGAAGAGATTTGACAAAAGGTAAACTGGTTCTGGTTAAGCCATCAGATAGATCTTTGTTTCTGCAAACAAAGTTCAAAAAGCATAACCAAGAGATTGTAATCAGTGATTACAAGAAGTCCAGATGTGTGACAGGGAAACCACAGGGGAGAGGGTGGTCATGGTGGCGCAGTTCCTGAGTGCTGTGGTATTAGATGACTACAAAGAAGGATGCCTCATCCCCAGCAGGAGCAGTGTTTGTCTTGTGGGCCTGACTGTCTCTCTGTCCATTGGCCTGCTGCCCAGTCATTCTAAAGAGGCAAGCAGGGCCCGAGGAGAGTGGGCCTGCTATAGACTCTGCCCCCTCTGCCAGGCTATTCTTTGGCTCCAAACCTGTGTCCTGCCACTCTCAGGGACCCAAGATACCTGGGATCCAGGAGTGGATGCTCAAAGATGTGAGCTGGGGAAAGGGAACTGGGGTTGATGCCAAGGTGCCTCCATCTCTGTAGAAGGGAACCGTAGCACTTCACAGGGAAAACCCCCTGCAACCCCCAGTTTCTCTTTGAGAAATATTTTCTGTTTCCCACCCTTCTTCCTAAAGACACTTGGGAACTGGGACCACAAAAGGCCCACGCTGATCTCCTGGCAAATACCTCCATGACTGGTAGGTATTTCCCAAGGATTTGGAATATTGGGTGTCGGCTGAGGCCATCATCCTGATAAGAGAAGTGCTCCATTTCTGAGACATTGCCACCTCTCTGGGGACATTGCTTTCTTACATGTGGCACACTTCTCCCACCGTCCTACCCCACTCCACATTGATTCTGTTATAGCAGATCAGATCTCATTGCCCTCTTTTTTTTGTTTGTTTTGTTTTTGTTTTGAGACAGAGTTTCACTCTTGTCGCCCAGGCTGGAGTGCACTGGTGCCATCTCGGCTCACGGCAACATCTGCCTCCCGGGTTCAAGTGATTTTCCTGCCTCAGCCTCCTGAGTAGCTGGAACTACAGGAACCTACTATCACACCTGGCTAATTTCTTGTATTTTTTAGTAGAGAAAGGGTTTCACCAAGTTGGCCAGGCTGGTCTCAAACTCCTGACCTCAGGCGAACCACCCACCTTGGCCTCCCAAAGTGCTGGGATTACAGGCGTGAGCCACTGTGCCTGGCCACTCATCACTCTCTTAAAAGTCTCCAACATTTTCCATTTCACTTCTAAGTCTCATTTGATGCCTAAAAGCCCTCTTGCCTCTTAGACGCATCTCTTACCCTCACCCCCGACTCCACTTACTCCCTGCTGATCCTCAGACACCATAAGCTCACCGCTGCTTCTGGCCTTTGTATGTGCTGTTCTCTTACTAAAAGGCTTAGACCTGGCCCTTCCCCCAGATAGTGCCATTAGCTCCAGCAGACCTCTGCTCACACATCCCATCCTCAGAGACCTCTTGTCCTCAAACCCCCCTGAAGAAGTTCCCAGACACCCTGTTGCATTAACCTGCTGGGTTCTGTTCTCAAATGCTTAGGATTGTTGGAAACTACCTTCCATGTTTATTAGTGTCATTTGTACCTCTGCCTGCAAAAGTGAGCTCCATATGTAAGAGGATTGATTTGTCAGCTGTGTCTCCAATGGCCAGAGTTGTATCTCCGGCTGATTTTTTTTTTTTTTTTTTTTTGAGATGGAGTCTAGCTCTGTTGCCCTGGCTGGAGTGCAGTGGTGTGATCTTAGCTCACTGTAACCTCCGCCTCCTGGGCTC